AAAATGGGATATGTCACCTAATATACGTTTCACTAGGTTTTCGAAACTTTTTCGAAAAACATATGTTACCACGAGGCTCAGCATAGTCGATCACCTATGTTTCCATGTGTTTTCACCTTCCCAGACCCAGTTTAATGGGAGACATATAGCTTCAGGGAAAATCCTGGCTCTGCAAAAACCAAGCGAAAGCAAGAGGTCGCTTAGATCCATATTTGTGGAAGACACTTTGGTCTATCTACTTATGAAAAAAATCGGTGGATTGCTATTTTTGTTTTCTGAAATCCAAGCTATTTTTCAAAGATTCTCGGAAAACCCAGTTTTTTGAATCTTTTCCAAACTAGTTTTTGCTTATGTAAAGTTAGCTTCAAGCGTCTATTTTCTATTGCTGGAAACCGCAAGTCTCTAGAGTTATTGCAAAAACAACCGAGTGCACTGTATTTTGGCACCGATAATAGCACTTTCTCACACAAAACAGAAACATTAACAAAGTGTATAACATTGGGTTTTTTTTCACAGGTTCAAACACAAGTTACAAATCAAAATGATCAGTTAGAAGATAAAGAGTTGGTTAGTCGAAGAATTTTATCTTTTCTATAAACCAAAATATAATTTAGTTTAGATGTGTGATGGAAAAAATCTCTATGAAATACCCGGTGCAACAGCCTTAGAATATGCGCGAAATATTTTAAATGCAATATTCACACCAGATGAAATAAAAAGTAAAAAATTACCAGGAAATAGAAAATTGATGAAACTCGATGATGCTCAATTAAATGAACAACAACTGGATACAATTGGAATAAAATTGACCTGCTAAAACGTAAGTAACGAGTCCTGAGCATTCATGGTTATGCTTCTTCCTGTCTGTAGCCGGAAGTCTTCTTTCAAATAGCGAGTTTCATGAAAAATATTTTTTTCATATCTCATCCCCAACAAAACATTTTTAAAAACCTGCTGGGGGGGTTGGGTTTTAGATCATGCTGGTTCTATGGGCGTTCTCAGTTTTGTCACATTGCTTACTGTTGGGTCTGGATAGAAGACCACCCTTTTTTCGGGGACCTTATTTTAACAAACTTCTGGATTTCTATCAACACTCATTGTTTGGATTTAAGTTTTTGTACTGTTAAATACAGTATTCATTTCTCTATCGAACTAGCTCTGGAGCAAATTCTGTAGAGCATCGAACGAGCTTTTCAGCGATAAAAAATATTTTCTTCTAATTATTTTTACTCGCGTAAAAAGAGCAAAAACAAACGTAACGTTGTTACACATTTTTTTATCACACCATTTAAGAACACTCCATGTTCTTCAAACAACTTCATACTTATAGCCTGAGTACTTCTAGCCTTCCTAAAGATACTCCACTTGCAAACAAAGTTCCAAAAGGTGCCCCAGGCGTTAAAATCGAGTCGGGAGTTCAAACTTGCAAGCAGCCCTTGTGCCTCGACTGAGAAATATTTCTCAAAACAAAACAAGCCATTTGCAGAGAATCGAGTTCTCTATTCAACAATATATTTTTAAAATTATTTTACGAAAATCTCTAGATCAGAAAATTAAAATTAAAGTTTTCAAAAATTTTAAATTTAAATTTTTTAATCGAAAATTCAATTTTTTTTTAAAATAAAGGTCGAATTCGCGATCACCATGAAGTACTACGTCCGATGATGGGCTCCTTTCGATTTCTCGATGAAAAAAAAAAACTTGATCAGCGAAGTGTCGCGTTATGTGGACAAGCCATCATCCGAAAGGTAGCGAATTCTTTGCTTTATTTCTGCTAACTTTCTCTTACTAACTACATGTAGTTACATAAGTGTTTGAATTCAGTAGATGTTTTTTGTATATGTGCGCATTGTTAGATTCTGACGATCAACAGGGGATGCTCGAAAGCCTAATTATACGTTGAATAAATAAAATAAAATATGTGCTATCAAGGTAATACAATAATTTCTACTTCAATAATTTGAAAAGTTCTGCTATGTAATACTGTTACGAAAAAACAGACTACTGAGGAGAACTATATTCATATTTACGTTGTAATAAAATGATATAATAATACCTCTTAGTTTTGACGTTCACAGTGATAAGAGCCTCTGCAACTGCTCAAATGTGGCGGGTACGTTTGGTAGACAATGCGAGTACGAGTTAATTGCAGCAAAAGAAAGTTTTCAAGCGACCATACAACATCAATTCAAGATGAAAGAACGATTTATACTTGGAAGTCAAATTTACGGCAATATCACTTGTTATCAACCTCATTTTGAATGTGACTATGGTTT